AAGAAACGTGAATTTCACGTTACATCTGATCTTGTGATTTGATTGGTCACCATCACGTGCGGGGAAATTTTTTGGGGGGTGAGCTGTATAACTTGATTTTTTATGGCACCACTATGTTACTATGCCGGAAAATTTTATGTGGGTCCGCTTGCAGAAATAAGTAATTCCCTCGGGACGTTCCTACCTGAAATAACGCGACGTGTTTTTTAAAACGTCTTTGAAATTTAAGAATGTATAACGATAAGCAATGGATATGCATAAAACCGAAATGTAAATGAAATAAAAATTCTGGTATTTATTGTATTGAATCGCTTTGGCTTAATAAGCTATTCCTTTCGTTTTTAAATTAATAGGCCAAGAAAATGGCAACATAATATCGGTAATTCTTCCTCGCCCACGAACTGGTAACAAATTATCTTTTCTCGTTATTAAACATTTGCATATATAATTTATAATACTTTTTTTTTATAATCAGGGCTACCTGCACGTTACCTTCTTCAAGACGGAAACTTGTATGAAGCATTATATGTAGATTATGAGCATCAAAAATCTTGGTTTGTTAAAGACATAATCGAAAGAGGTATTCAAAATTAAAGAAATGATGTAATAATAATTCCATTAAGTTGGTAAAATGCCTTCTTACCTGAAAAAATCAGACGGTAGCTTCGTGTATTTTACTCGATTCGATCCGTTATTTTTGTTAATACCAATCCTAGATAATTGTCGAAAAAAGGTAAATTATTTCAAATTAGATTTTTGTTTCTACATGTTTCTATCTCAATTGATCGCATTTCAATGCTTAGAATTCAGAATTTCAAGGACTATTTCTTCCGCTAGATGATATCCTAGATAATATTGACTATCCAAGTTTAACGCGATTGTCTTCGATAAGTAGCATCTCATCATATATGGATTGGATTTGTGACAGCAAAGGTTAGAAGAATTTTAACTTCAGATACATTATATGGCAAATACCCATCTATACATCATCTATTATTATTTTAGAATCACTCGCCAACAAAGTTTATAGATTAAATGATGAGAAAGTAATGATTTGGTTAAAAAAAAAGGTATTAGGGATGATAGCTCATTATATTTGCAAAAATATGTTAATTAAATGTAAATTTTATTATGCTTATTAGGTTACAAACATTTTGTCCAAATTTAATGATGATAAATATGATAAGTCTTTTAAAAAAATCGATCAACGATTGGACGATGAAATAGTTGACAACCAGCATCGACATGGTAAACGTGAAATCTATTTTAGTTAGTCATTTAATACGTATTTACTGAAGAGTAACTAATAAATCTTCAGAACTTCGATTAAAATACGCACTAGAAATTGTTATGGAATATCTGCCAAATTATTGGGCCGAGCAATTGAAAAAAGAATACGAGTGAGTATGAATTTTTTTGGTCAAATGATAAATATTCAACTTACATACTTTCCTTTCTTGAATTAGTTTTGAGGCACTTGGTACATGGGATAATAATGCTGTCGTATACATGTCGGCAATTTCTACTGATTACCATGTAAAACAACCCGTTGAGAAAGATGTCGTTCCAACTGCCAAGGTGACTATCATAAATTATCCATTTATTACTTTTAGTTGGGTGTATATTAACAAGCATCTTTACTCTAAAGAAACGTAAATTAACAGTTGGACAAGCATCCATAGCTAAAGCCAATAAAAAAGGGATGAAGCCACTAACATCTTTCTTTACTAAAAGTTCACAAACAAATAAATAAAATCTAGTGTTATCTTTAGCTTATGCAACTATAATAGTTTCTTATTATAGCTCGAGTTGGTCAAATTTTCAAAATCGTTTGTATATTGAAAATGTGTAAGGTTGTGCTCCGGGATAACATGTGTTAGTTCGGATGATTACTCTGAATTCAAAATAAAATATTTAACTATATGGTCTAGGTGCTAAGAAAAGGGCCCAAATTGACAAAAATCTTCAGAAAATTAATTTTTATGTTATAAATTTTATAAGAAAATATAACTTTAAATAGCTATACTAAAAAATTTTATTAATATAACTACTTTTGTGTTTTAAATGAAAAATGTTTTTAATCTTATTTTAAATTAATTTATATAAAAAAAATTCTTAAAAAATTGTCAATTTGGTTCATTTTTTGCATCTAACCTATATTTTTAATTATTTAACAGTTACAAGACATGCTTTTATACAGATTTTTATTGTTGTTATTTATAAATCAAATCAGTTGATATATTAAATTATATATATAAATTAAAGACGAATTAGTTTCGTGTTTCGTCAGCGTGAAAACTACGATACTATGTATCAAAAGAACAATGGCATCAATTTTGAATCGCATAATTATTTGTTCTCGCTTTCATAATTTTTCATATCAAATTGTTAATCATGGTAAGGTCATGTAAATCTAGTAATAGATTCTTATTACATTTAAATTTGACGAATAAAATTTTGAGTTAATTCAGCTTAATACGGAATCATAAAGATCCAGATTAAATACAATTTATATATTACATTATTAATGTAAATTATTCGATCATACAATGATTAAAAATATAAATATTAAAATAAAAATAAAACTATTTTACTCTCATAGCATATATAACAGATACTTTTCAATTATCCAACTTCAATAATATTAAGTCAATAAAAAGTATCTAAAATCACAAATACGGGAGCAAAATGCTTCAATTAAGCTTTTGTCTATCAGCGGGAGCAACGGGATAGTCTGCTTTATTATCGCGAACCATTTTGTCAAAATACCATCGTACTGGCTTAATGACAAGCTAAAGATATAATAGAACAGAAATATAAATTTGATAAATTTATTACAACAATAATAATAATAAAACAATATTTTTAATAATTAACCAACCCGAGTAACGCCACATAGTAAGGTATCGAAGAATGCGTTATTTGATGGTGAAATTCCTGTATTATGTTAAACCATATATGCATGCAAATAAATTTCCAATCTTGATTTAAACAATTTCAGGAGAAAAATTATTTAATCGTACCCAAAGTTGAAGCTCTAATTGCATCGCCAATAATGTCTGAAGTAATGAAAAAGTTGCCTTTACATATGCCTACGTTATAAATTAATTACAAACTATTGCGTTAGAATAAAATTGACATTTCGATGGTATATCCAAGAAAAAAAAATTTTTATCACCTTTATACAAGGCTTTGGCACCTTCCCCTGGAGTTATTTTATCATCACCTTCTATATCTTTAGTGATCTTTGGTTTTGTTTTCATCTAGAGTGTTATGAAACAGGAATTAAAATTATTAAAAAAACCACAAAAAAAAAAAGATGTAGTTGGTCGAAGTGTTGAAACTACCTCTTCTTCATAACCAGGTGTATCAAGCGTACCAGCAAAATAACAATGTACACCAATATCATAAAGGATCAGCTCATGGCGCAGACATTCCGCCAAGCCTATTGAGCACAATTAATTCCGATATGTTAATAAATATAATTATACATATAATCATAATACAATTAATAATCACCTCTAATAGCATGCTTTGTTGGAGCATACGAAGAAAATCCCATAAAACCACAAAGTCCCATTACAGAACTAACAAAAACGACCTTGCCTTTGACACCTTGCTGAGCCATACGTTTTACGGCCTCCTACATTAATAAAACAATAATGTTAAATATTGACATAAATTAATCAAGTGAATTTAACATAATTAAATTTACATGGGAGGTGTATAGGGCACCGAAATAATTAAGTTGCATAGTTTTCTCGAATTCATCCATTGGATGTTCTATAAATACACGTGGTATTGAAAGACCTATCGGTTACAAGAAAATACCAATCAAATGAAGATTTAAAATTTATCTTTGTAAAGGTGTATTAATTAACGAATTATATTTCAATTAATGAGTTACCAGCGTTGCAAATGATCACATCAGGCACTCTTCCACCATGTTTTGATGAAGCTTCATCAAGTGCACGAATGGAATCATCATATTTTGATAAGTCAGCTGATACTGCGTTAAATTTCAAAGTTTCATAATCCTCACGAGCTTTAGCAGCCTGAGGTCATGTAAATATCAATATATGGTATGAACAAAAAGATGGACAACAGAATACAATACAAAATCATAACGTTATAAAAAAAATAAAAAATAAATGAACTAAATAAATAAAAGATAATAAATTACATCTTTAATTTCTTCTAGAGCACGATTCAAATCATCCCTGTTTCTAGCACAGATTGTGACATGTGCTCCTTTAGAAGCCACTAACTTGGCAAACTCCTTACCAAGTCCTTTACTGCCGCCCGTAACATAAACATGCTAGTTATAAGCAGGATAATCAAGTATAAAGATAAATATATAATAATTCGGCATTTTCATCATTATTTTTATTAAGAATAATAAAGCCTACCTTTCCTTTAGGTTGGAATTTATTCCTTCCCATAATTTTGCTCCAAAGAGAATTAGTCATTAGATAACCTACGGAAAGTAATAAAAACGTAACAATGACAGAGGCTACTGGATGTAATCCTCCAGCTAATTCAGCATAAGGTGTAAATTGAAGAATATAATCTATTAAGGACCACATTTAGGAGATAGCATTATTTTTATTAGCTGCAAATCTGTAACATGCAGATCCTGATTGGTCAATTAAAAATTTTTGATAAAAAGAAAAAAAGTTCGTGAAAGTCAGCACTTTTTTATATTATTTTTTCTATACACAATTTTCGTGTAACATGCCAAGATCGGGTCGCTTAAAGATTAACGTTAAGGCAGATTATCGGCGACACAAAAATTCAGTGGATCACATTGTACGTACATCCAAATTTTGGCAACCAATTGTTTTGTTTAGTGTGTGCGCAGAAGAGTTAAAATGTTGTACGTCTGACCCCGAAATTTGATTGGGTGTACAGCCACATATAGAAATGATTTCCATTCCTTTTAAAAGTGTCACATTACGTATTTATCACAAGAAACATCGACTAATTAATCAAAACATAGTCAGGGTGCATATGGGCTGAGTGCTGTAAACTGACAAAAAAATAATTAATAAATTATAAAAAATACAGTTATGCGGCAAGATTTTATTAATGCAACTGAATGATCTTGATATTACGTACGTATTCTGAATTGATTATATAAAAAAAGTTTTTCTTAAAAATTTGTCCATTGACTCCTCTTTGCAGCACCTAGCTCATATGTAGATCATTTATTGCGGATTTTTTAATGGGATTTGGCAATCGGTTTTTTATTATATGAGTGCCGCCAAGGAAAAACCTGGATCCGTAAAGTACAGGTTATTATGCGGCGAACTTAGCCTCTGAAAAATCATTAGTGATTCATCGTGATGACAACCTTCTCTTATGATCGATTGCATGTCATCAGGGCAGGAATAGATTAGTGGGTCCACCAAAATTCAGCAAATCGGCCCGAATTTGGGGTCAGGGATGGGCCGGAGCAAAGTGGCTTTAAGCAATAATACTGGCCGACTATATTATAGCAAAATTATCATTTGGGCAGCTTTACTTTGCATAGGCTGCCACTTTATTAGTAAAATTTTGTGTGATTTTAGAAAAAATTTATCAATTTCCGGCCTAATCCGACCCAAATTCGGGCCGATTTGCTGAATTTTGGTGGACCCTCTAATCTATTCTCAGGGCAGGGACACCGATTTGTTTTAGTGCGATACTTGGGATAGCATAGTGATGGCGCAAAAAATTGGCGGAAACGTGATCTTCGAGATAAATCGGGCCAATGGGAGTCCGGAAGACTACTATGGTGAACGGGTGGTGTCACAAAATTGATTTTACGGGTTGATAAATTATAGTGATATATCTTCGAATTTACGATCTCAAAATTATCAAATTTAATATCTTTGAAATTAAACTAATTTATAGATAAAATTAATATCTTCGAAATTAAATATATTGCAAAAATTAATCTTCGATATTTAATAGAAAATTAATGTCTTCGAAATTAAATATATAGCAAAAATTAATCTATCTTCGAAATTAAATAATATTTGCGAAATTAAATCTTAATAAAGTATATTCAGAATCGTGTAAATTTGAAACAAATTTCAAAATATATCGATATTACACATATTAGATATAACACTAATTAATATCTTGTAAATTAAATGAGTAATTAAATGCGAAATTTAATGCAACAATTAAAGAATTATTTGATGATATTTTTGCTTTAATATAAAAAGACGAAAGAATTTAATCATATCGTATCCCTTCTCTAAATTAAAATTGAAGCCTATTAAATTAAAATATTTTATTATATTTGAACTGCCAATATCTTGCCATTGTACACCATTTAGTCCCATTACAATTTCTTATATTTCTATACCTAAAACTGCTTATATTTACTATCACTATATTTACATCTTGTCATTGCTGAATTATCTAGCTATTTCGCACCAATTGTGCCCATACGTTTAATAACTACTCGTATTTGCCATCGCTACGCTATCTAGTTATCTCCTCATTTTCATACCTAAATAACTACTTTGCTATCAGTACTCTATCTAGTTAGTTATTTTCTTACTTCAAGAATTTCTATATTTTTTAACTACTCATCTCTGCTACATTATCTGACCATCTTTATACAATTCATTTTCTTATTTCTATATTATTTAACTATTCATCTCTGCTATGTTATCTGGCCATCTTCATACAATTCATTTTCTTATTTCTATATTCCAATAACTACTCATCTCTGCATACAATTCATTTTCTTATTTCTATATTCCAATAACCACTCAGCTTCGCAATCACCACACTATATAATTATTCAGTAAAATTTCTTACCTAATTTCAATATTTTTAATTCAATAGTTATACTATCGAACAGTATTATTACAACTCCTTCTTTACTTTAATAATTTTAATAAATTAAAAATATCATGGCCTCTTCTAACCGCGGAAAAAGATGCTTCCGTTGTGATAAATATAAAAATCTTAACGAATTTACTCGACAAATTGGAAGTCAAATAAAAGAAGGTTCCAACTGCAATAAATGTGCAAAAACTAAAAAGAAAAAAAAGCCTAAAGCTATTAGTAAACCAACGAGTGTAGAAAGTTTGAACATAACTGAAGATTACGTTAATGATGAATATAAAGACATAGCTTAGTTTAGCTTAACAGATATGAAAATCTTAATAGCTAACTGTTTTGAAAGTGAAGAATATGGCCGTGTGCATTTTCAGGGACTTTAAAGTTTGATGAAAATTTTGTCAATAATGTGCCTAGTGAAAATTAAGAGAGTGACAAAGAAGTTACTTATCGTAAAATAGCCGAATCTCTTCTTGTATCTATTGAAGCTAGATCTCGCTATTACTGGAATTAAGAAAAATCTATTCTCATAAGGAAAACAATCAATTAACTGGAGAAGCAACTATATATTTTGGCTGTGCTCAAAGAGAAGATCATAAACATACATACTCAGAAAGTCAAGTACCAAAAAGAATAAGTGAAGCAAGACCTTCAATAAATCAGTATTCATGTAAAGGAAATATTAAGATTAATCTTGATATTAATAAATATCAAGCAAATATAAAATTGAACACTTAATAGCTCATGAGCATCCTACATATCGTGAGAGTAACTTACCACAAAATGCTATAGCCTGGATATCACAAAATATACACAGAAACCTTAAAAAAATAGAATTTTATAGAAGGCTTGGTGAAGAAAAACTCATTAACCCAAACGTGCATACTTATCAACAGGTGTATTATTGGATTTTTAAGTTTTCTGCTCAGCAATATGTTACAAATATTTCCAACCAACTTCTTTTTATTCGTAATCTCTTGGCTCAAAGTGATCTAGTCGATCAAGAATATAAAGTTCTATTATATATAGAAAACAACTTCGTTAGGTCTCTTGGATTTACTACTCCTTTTTTTAATTACATACCAAAAAATGATATAAGCGAAATCCTTATA